GACATCTTCAACTAGATCAGGTTGCTCAGAGCACCATCCAACCTGACCTTGAACATTTCCAGGGATGGGGCATCTAACCACCTCTCTGGGCAACCTGTTCCAGTGTTTCACCACCCTCATCACAATAAATTTGTTCCTTCTATCTAGTCTAAGTCTACCCTCTTTTAGTTTAAAACCATTACTCCTCATCCTATCACAACAAGAGATGTTTGTCCCCTTCTTTCTTGTAAACCTCCTTTAGGTACTGGAAGGCCGCTATAAGTTCTCCCTGGAGTCTTCTCTTCTCCGGGCTGAACAACCCCAACTCCCTCAGCCTGTCTTCACAGGAGAGGTGCTCCATCCCTCTGATGTGACACGGGGGCAGGACAGGGCTCACCTTGCTCGAGCTCGGCCAGCCGCTCCTCCGCTTTGCCCACCTCCTGGCCGAGGGTTGGATGCTGCTGGGGAAAAGACGTGCATGTGGCATTGCCTTGGCACGGCATTGTGTTGGTGCGGCATTGCGTTGGCGCTGTCTGGTTGAGCCCCGAGCCACCTGGACACTGCCAGCCATGCTGAGGATGCTGTGACCGTGACACCCCGGTGATCAGCACCCTGGCACCATGGCACACAGCCATGGCTGGAGGGGAGGGCACAAGGGGGTCAGCCCTTTGTCACCTCGGCGTTACAGGGCCCGGAGGAGGAAATAAAACAGAAAATGAGCCCATGCGTGATACCTGCACCATAGCTGACTCTTCCTCCTCCTCCTCTTCCTCCTCCTCGTCCTCGCTGCTTTCTGACTCCGGGATGGCTGCAGAGGAACCAAAAGCATGACAGAAGGTCACCAGTGCAACTGGAAACCTGGGAGGTGTTTCTATCCCTTTGCTTTTCCCAACTTCACACTGCTCTCCAAGGGTCAGGGGCAGAGCACCCCCCGCACCACAGGCTGGGGTGGGGGGCAGCGATGCCTCTGCGGCTGCTGGAGTCATATGTCTAAAGGAAAATGGGAAAATCCATATGGCAGGAGATCCTGCAGTGGAAAGAATGCAAAAACCTAACCCGATAGTAATCAGCTCTTCAAAGGTGGCAGCAAAGGAGTGGAGGGCATCGGTGGCAGCAAAGGAGTGGAGGGCATCGTAGTAAAGAGGCTGCTTGGACGAGGCAGGAGCACAGCTGGGAAAAATCCCGGTGAGCGATTCTAGGCAAGGAAAGACCATCTCAGAGCATCCTGCTGCCCTGACGAGCCCTTGCCTGCAGCTCGCCCAAGAGGTGCCACCACAGAGCTGTGCCTTTGCTGGGCTCGGCTGGTGTCCACGGCTGTGGATGGACACCAGGGTGACACAGAGGGCTGGACAGTCCCCAGCACCACTGGACTTCCCCACCACCACACTGGGGTGACTGGTCTGGGGGGGACACCTATGTGCAAGACCTCACTGAGTGCACACAGGCAGGTACCAGGGAGCATGTCCCCAGGGACCGTCACTGGTGGTCCCCAGTGGTCAGGACCAGGGAGCTGCTTCACCCCCAGGTGCTCCAGGGTCCTCCTGTCCTTCCAGGGTGGGGGTCTCTGGGGGGCAGCTGCCTACCCAGCTCCCCCCAGGGCAGGTCCCAGAGGGGCTGTGGTGCGTGACGCCCCTAGAGGCAGCGGGGCAGGAATCCAGCACCCGCCTCCCACCCTTCCCATCACACACCTAATCCGGTGGGAAATGCGCTCTGGAATCTAAATCCCACCCCCCCACACCCCCCATTTATAATCTTGCCACCGCTGATGGGACCTT